TCATTTAAAAACTCTTAAATGTCCCTAGAAAGCTGTAAAATATGAAGAGATATTCATTCCTTTCATCATTCTTAAGATATTGCCTTCTCATGGCTGTGGTTAAGGAAATTACATCTGCTGGTTTTTTTTTCTTTGAGACAGAGTCTCACTCTGTCACCAGGCTGGAGTGCAGAGGCGCGATCTTGGCTCACTGCAACCAACCTTCGACTCCCAGGTTCAAGCGATTCTCCTGCCTCAGCCTCCTGAATAGCTGGGATTATAGGTGCACACCACCACACTCAGCTAATTTTTGTACTTTTAGTAGAGAAAGGTTTTACCATGTTGGCCAGGAAGGTCTCAATCTCTTGACCTCGTGATCAATCTCTTGACCCAGCTTTCCAAAGTGCTGGGATTATAGGCATGAGCCACCCCGCCTGGCCCTGATAGACATTTTCTTCATTAAATTTCCTGAGATTCTTGAGGCTGTGGATACTCAATGTCCTTCACCTATTTCAACTTGGATCTAACTTTCTTTAAGACACAGGCCTGTTAATGGATCTAAATATCACTTTTGAGTGACATGACTTGCCAACCTACATGCAGGGATTACTAATGGAAAAGCATTTTCTTAGCTCCATTCCAAAGAACATATGTCAGCTTTGACTACAACAAGCTATCAGGTTAATACTTTTAATTTGATAAAACTAGGTATAAATCAAATATTAAGTCAATCAGTTAGGAGGCAGACACCATTATCTATTCTTAGAGGGAAGCAGGTGCCTGGCTATGAAGGACCTCCTAGGCCATATTAAGGATTCTGCTGCTTTTCCTCAGGATCTGATGTGGATTTTAAGAGAGTATCCCAGCTGCTGGATTGAGGATGAATTCAAGGTGATGAAGAGTGGATTGTGGAGACAAATTAGGGGCAACTGTAATATTTGCTCTTTTTTTTTTTTTGAGACGGAGTTTTGCTCGTTGCCCAGCCAGGAGTGCAATGGCGTGATCTCGGCTCACTGCAACCTCCGCCTCCTAGTTTCAAGCAATTCCCTGCCTCAGCCTCCCAAGTAGCTGGGACTATAGGTGCCCGCCACCATGGCAAGCTAATTTTTGTGTTTTTAGTAGAGACAGGGTTTCACCATCTTGGTCAGGCTGGTCTTGAATTCCTGACCTTGTGATCCACCTGCCTCAGCCTTCCAAAGTGCTGGGATGACAGGTGTGAGCCACCCGCCTGGCCAATATTTGCTCTTTTGAATAGAGAACAGTTGAAATGTGTAAACGCTTCTATCTATCTATCTATCCATCCATCCATCCATTCATCTGTCCATCCATCCATCATCTATGTATCTATTCATCCATCCATTCATCATCTATCTATTCATCATCCATTATCTACCTATTCATCTATCTATTCATCCATCATCCATTTATCATCTATCTATTCATCATCCATCTATTGTCTATCTACCTATTCATCTATCTATTCATCCATCAACCATTTATCATCTATCTATTCATCCAATTCATCCATCTACCTATCTATTCATCCATCCATCATCCATCTGTCTCTTATCTACCTATCTATAATCTATCTATGTATCTATCATCTATCAATTATCTACCTATTATCTATGTATAATCGATTTTTCCATTTATGTTTCTGCTTATTAAATGCGTACACATTACAGATACAATTGTTTGGCACCAAAGAGAGCTCTGAAAGTAGCCCGCCGTCTCAATAGTCTCGGACTTGCTTTCCTCCCTCCCTAAGCCTAAGTCGTTCTTGCCCCAGTTGTTGGAGGCTACTTGCTCCTGGGCTGTGTCCTTGGTAGAGGTGGCACTCACCAGCCCATGCCAGTGAAAGTCTTCAGTAAATGGGGCTAACCTGATGAACACAGAGGCAGGCTTCCCGCTGAAATGCCCCCTCTCCCAGAGATGCCCAGTGGGCTGTAGGAAATGACTGTGAAGGCATCCCCTTTCCTTCCTCAGAGTCCGTGGCCTCCTGACTTCCTCCCTGTCAGGACTTGTTTTATGGTCCAGTAAAGCCTAGTTCTGGCTTCGTCTTCCCCCTTGGGATGAAACAGGGATAACTCACGCTATCCCCATGGCACAGACCAGCAGAGGAATAGGAGCCCCCAGAAGGCACCACGTGGGATGGTTAAAAATGCTGTTGCAAGTTTTCCATGCACAGGATGGAAGGCAGTTTTCACTCTTCTGAGTATGAGATGCCTTCTGAAGCTGAGAGGATCAGGTGGCCTTGACCTTTCATTATCATCTTAAGACATGGACACTTTTTTGAATCTCCTCCCTTCTGTGGGAGATTCAAGCTGTGAAGCTCTGAAGCACCTGACGATGAACTCTGCCTTTGCTGGTGACCTCTTCAGGCCTGGGGGCAGGCAGGAGGGGTGCCCCTGCTGGTACCTTGCTGGGCTGTCCTTCAAAACTCCCCCAGGTTTTTGGGTAGCTGCGGACACTTCTACCAGATGCCTCGGTGGCCCTAGGAGCCCCCTGCTTGGCTTGTTTATTCGAGGCTCTGGATTCTCTTTTTCAATGCAGGCTGCATGGCTTTGACTTGTTAAGTCTCTGTGTTCAACATTACCAAAATTCCGAAGGTGAAACCTAAAATGTCATGCTCCACCTGGAATGTGAATCTCACACAGGTGAGTCACGTCTGGGCTTATGCCGATTATGGGAAGTCGTAGACCCTAGGGTGACAGCAAAAGCCCCATTGCTGGGTAACCTTTGCATTGAAGTATGAGGCTTACTAAGGCAAACCTTGGTTTTATAGGCATTTATTTACATCATATTTCAATTCTTCAGAAGCTTAACCACTGTCTGGGGTGCAGCAGTTCTGAGAAACAGCTTTACATGAAGATATAAACTAAGGGGTACCCATGAGTGTGTCTCTTCCTTCCTCTCCCAGGACAGAGTAACAGGTGTGCTAAGATGCCCTTGGCCCCGGGGTGCTCACCTCCAGCCATGAACTGCCTCACCCAGTTAGTTGGCGGGCTGCACAGGTGTTTGCGCGTCCCACATGTGGCCTGGCATGAAGACGGTCCACATAGGTGGCTCTAGACCGTGCAGGCAAGTCTTCCCCGGGGGCTGAAGGAAGTCACCCTGAGACCCTCTCCCCTGTGAGGACCTCTCCTAAGTCAGATTTCTCACTGCTCCTAGCTCCAGCTCCTGCTACCGTCTGCCTTGGGTTGCCAGTTGACAAATCCTCCCCAAGCTGGAGCGCTGCCGCAGCTTTGTTCCAGGCATCTATTCTGCTGCCTGTCCCCAGAGTGGCTGTGCTCTGGGTTCTGGGAGCCACATGCTTCAACACGACTGCTTTCAGGATACCTGAATGAGGAAAGCCTGAGAAGCTTAGAAAGGTATCCTGGATTGGAAGGCAGAGGTGGGTGGATCACCTGAGGTCAGGAGTTCAAGACCAGCTTGGCCAACATGGCAAAATCCCATCTCTACTGAAAATATAAAAATTAGCCAGGGCTGGTGGCAGGTGCCTGTAATCCTAGATACTTGGTAGGCTGAGGCAGGGAGAATTGCTTGAACCTGGGAGGTAGAGGTTCAAGGTTGCAGTGAGCCAAGATCATGCCACTGCACACCAGGCTGGGAAACAAGAGTGAAACTCTGTCTCAAAAAAAACCAAAAAAACAGAATCCTAGAAATACGCTTCTAGTAACAGCAAGCTCGACTGACCAAGAACAGGGAGAATATTCCATGAGAAAGGAAACATTTCTTTTTCTGGCTTCTTGCTATAACCTGGTGGGGAACAGAGTCAGCTGAAGTATCTCCACATGGTCTATCATGGCTCAAGGGAAACAATGGCTTATCCAGGCAGCATCTTGCTTGTGTAGTTGCTTTGATTAGCCTCTGTAAGAACTAATGCATTGTTTGGCTATTATGTTTTCTGTGCTGTGCATAAAGAATAAGAGAATTTCAGAGGAGGGATGAGTCCTCTTGATTTTCTTTTTTTTTTTTTTCTTTTTTTGAGACAGAGTCTCACTCTATTGCCCAGGATGGAATACAAAGACAATCTCAGCTCACTGCAACCTCGGCCTCCCAGGTTCAAGAGATTCTCCTGCCTCAGCCTCCCAAGTAGCTGGGGACACCTGCCACCATTTTTGTATTTTAAGTAGAAATGGGGTTCACCATATTGGCCAGGCTGATCTAGAACTCCTGACCTCGTGATCCCCCTGCCTCAGCCTCCCAAAGTGCTGGGATTACAGGTGTGAGCCACCAAGCCCTGCTGTGGCCTGTTGATTTTCTAAAGCATCACTACATTTAGGTGGAGTGACTTAGGTCCTGGAGGTTAAACGGCTCACCCCAGGCCACCCTGGGGCATTTGCTGCTCCTCTGGGAAGGGTAAGGGGATCTCACATGCAGCCCCCATACCAGCTCTGTGCAGACATCTCCCTGGGAGGATACGCGTTCAGGCTTTGCATTTTGAATTCAGACAAAGGGGCCTGGATCACTGTTCTGTTAGTGCTTAAATGTCTTTAGAAACGTTTTCTTTCAGAGAGTTTTTGAAAAGATGTATTAAAAAATGCTGGCTCTTTATTGCACGTATCTCTGGGGGCAGGATAGAAATAAATTGGAAAGACAGTAAATAGACTCTGTGCTGCATGACTCTGTGCTGGGGAGATGAACTACTGGCTCTTCCTTTACTGATCCTCACTCCCACTCTAGCCCTTCTCCATAATAACAGGAGTTGTCTGGAGTCCTGCCAGTGTTGCACAAAGCATTTTGCACCTATTTCCAACACCCGGAATAACCCTCGGAGGCAACGATTATTATTCCCATTTTACAGATGAAGAAACTGAGGCTCCTAGAGGTTAAGTAATTCGCTACAAATCACACTGCTTGATGAGTGGTGGAATTCTAATTGATCTGATTTCAAGAGTGAACATCGATGTGTATCTTAGAGGTCTGTTAAAGTCATCTGACCCAGAAAGAAACCTAGGCCCAACTCTCTGTCAAAAATTTCCCAGGACCCATGTGAGTGAGGGCAAACCCTTGTCTACCTGCAGAACTCTCCTTCTGATTCCGGCAGCATCAGCGAGGCCATGGGGTTCTTCATCAGATCGGCCACCACAGGGTCCTTGGCTGTCATGTAGAAGAAAGGAATCCCAGTGCTATTGTTGACGGGGCCATCACTGATAGGCAGGCAGTTCCCAAATGGCAGTCCTTGGATCTAACAAACACCAAAAAAGGCTTTTTCAGTGCAGAGTTGTGGCTTGACTTGATTTGGGAGCTTAGCTTGTGCCTCTGGCTAGGAAATACGGCACCAGGGATGAGGGGGATCATGGCATCACAGTGGCTTTGATAAGTAGTAAATCAAGGTAAGGTGGTCCCCAGTCTGCCCCATTCTGTTTGGAAGGGGTGGTGAAAGGATTCTTCTTGAAGCTGCCTGTGCATGGCAAATATATACACACTTTTAAAATTTCATGTTGGGGGAGGAATAATGACATTTATGGGGGGTGGTGCTAAGCCTTTCCCACAAGTTGCCCGTTCCAGTCCCACTGCCTTAACTCCCAAGGTTGGCTGCCTCTCCCATGTTTTTAGCAACTTTAGGGAGGAAATTTAAGTCTTTAATGTCTTGCCTTCTCTTTGGACTTCAGTAATTTTCTTTTATTGTTTCTTTTAGGGCTACATCACTTTCTCATTTATTAGCTGCATTTTTAAAATTGTCATGAATAATATTTCATTGTATGACTCAGCAAGTTACGAGAAATTGATTTGTTAACGATTTTTGTATAAAGGAAGTCACAAAAACAAGATATACCAATTTTTCTTCATGATCACCCAGTAGGGTGGGAGAAGGGTGGTACTATAGTTTGGATATCTTTCCCTCCAAACCTCATGTTAAAATCTGGTCCCCAGTGTTGGAGGGGAGGCCCAGTGGGAAGTGTCTGGGTCATGGGAGTGGATCACTCATGAATGGCTTGGTGCCCTCCTTGAGGTAATGAATGAATTGTCCCTCTGTTAGGTTCCTTGAGAGTTCCCCTGAGAGATGGTTGTTTAAAAAAGCCTGGTGCCAGCTGGGTGTGGAGGTTCAGCCTGTAATCCCAGCACTGTGGGAGGCCAAGGCAGGAGGATCCCTTGAGACCAACAGTTCAAGATCAGCCTGGGCACGATGGTGAGACCTCCACCTCTACAAAATTTTTTTTTTAATATTAGCTTGGCATGGTGGCACACACCTATAGTCCCAGTTACTTGGAAGGCTGAGGAAGGAGGGTTGCTTGAGCCCAGGAGTCTGAGGCAGCAGTGAGCTCTGATTGCACCATTGCACTCCAGCCTGGGAATAAATAAAAATAAAAAGAGCCTGGCACCTTCCCTTCTCTCTTGCTCTCTCTCTCGCCATGTGATCTCTGCACACACTGGCTCTTCTTCACCTTCCACCATGCATGGAAGTAGCCTGAGGCCTCCCCAGAAGCAGATGCTGCGCCATGCTTTCTGAACAGCCTGCAGAACTGTGAGCCAAATACACTTCTTTTCTTCATAAATTACCCAGCCTCAGGTATTTGTTTATAGCAATAGGACTAAGACAGGTGGTATATCATGTTTCTGTGATTGCAGATATAAACAAAAACATTTATTTATTAGTATTATTATTTTTTGAGACAGAGTCTCACTCTGTTGCCCAAGCTGGCATTCAGTGGCACAATTTTGGCTCACTGCAGCCTCTGCCTCCTGGGTTAAGCAACTCTTGTGCCTCAGCCACCCCAGGTGGTGGGAGTACAGGTGTATGCCACCACACCTGGTTAATTTTTGTGTTTTTAGTAGAGACAAGGTTTCACCATGTTGGCCAGGCTAGTCTTGAACTCCTGACCTCAAATGATCTGTCCTCCTCGGCCTCCTAAATTGTTGGGATTACAGGTGTGAGTCACTGCACCTGGCCAACAAAAATATTTAGTGCTTAGGTTTTCCCAAATCCTGCCAGTCAAACATCCCAATTTTCCATGATTTTATTCCTAACAAAGTGCACCTTGTCGTTATTTGGCTCAGAATCCAGGAGTTATCTTTGTCCTTGAAGGGTTGCTTGATAATGGTGTGTAGAATTATAAAAGGCGGGGCTTCATTGTTTTAGGAACAGGAAATGTTAAGGAATCTTCCAAAATGGTAATATAACTTAGTTCATGTATCCCATTTTTCAGCTTGACATAGCTGCCCAGAGTCATGCTCTGCATACATGGCAGTACATGGTAAATGTTTTCTGAATTTATTGTTTAGATTAAATGTCAATACGGATTAGAAAGAGGAACTCCTAACAAAACTAAGAGAAGGAATATTGAAAGTCAAAATATCTCCAATACATTGGTACTAGACTTTCAATTTCTTAAAAAGATTGTATTTTCAACCAAGATTAGTATCATCTTTAACCTTTGTCTTTTTAAGATGTGTCTTAGGAGTGCAAAATACAGCTGTGAAAAATCATTTGGGTGCTGAGAATATTCAACTGGATCTGCATTTGACACTGAAGAGGTTAAGACCATTGCCAAAATAGAAATAAAGTTGCCATTTAGGTAGTTTTTAAGCAAAAAAAAAAAAAAAAAAGGACCTTAAAAACTGCCTGGTTAACCACCTAATTTTACAGATGAGGAAAGCAAAGTGGAGAAGCCAGTGACTCGGCCACAGCCTTGGTGAGACCCAGAGCTGGGGCAAGAACCTGGCCAACGTCCTATGCATTTTATAAAATACGAATTCTGTTTTTGTAGGAAGTAAATAGGAGTTCACATTACTGCCCTGTAGCTCTTTTATCTCTCTTAACATCCCTAAAAGCTTTCTGGAGGCATGGAAGTTACATGTGCATTACTTGTCCATGTTATTCTACGTGGAATCACGTCTAACAGGTGAGTAAAGCATTTGCGAACTGAAGATAAAAAGTGCAGCGGATAGCTCATTCCAGCCTTTACCCACTTTGCATAATAAACCTCCTTTCCAGAAAAAAGTCTTGAACTCCATTTTCTTAAATGCAGATTTCCAACGAAGCCCTGATGCTGTCTCTGTCTTCGTCTCCACTTCAGCTCCAGGTCAGGAGGTGATGGGGTGTTCGGGTCTATGGGTCTGTGCCCTGCGCAGGGAAGGGCTGTCCCCGCCTACTCTGAGATTCCAAAGGCGGCTCTGGCTGCTTTGGTTCAGGTCTCGGTCAGACACTGATTAGGCGTCCGTCTCTCTGCCTGGCCCTCTCTAGGCGGAAATTCGGTACCCAACCCTACTGGCAGGAAGCCTGGTTGTCTGCGTCCCTCTCCGACCCTCCCCCGACTTCGCCAGCTCTAGGAGGCACCATCGCCTACTATTATGTACAGTGTCGAGGATCCCATCCAGCGCCCGGGGCACGTCTGGTGGACCCGGATCCCAGTCCCGAGCGGTCGCGAGCACGTCCCCGTTCCCCTGCAGCCGCCTGAATGCCAAACCCCCTCGCGCTCGCCGCCGGGCGCTTACCTTCTCGTGGGCGGACACGGTGGCCAGGCAGCCCCAGGCGCTGGCGTGGGCCAGGGAGCGGGCGGTGGCTGCTCGCAGCCTCGGGGCCGGGAGGGCACCGCCCGCCTGGCCGCCCTCACGCCGGTAGGAGAACATCCCGGGCGGAGGAGGGGGCGGCCTGGCGCGCCCGGCGCCCGTCCGGGGCCGCAGGTGCGCGTCCTCTTTGTGAGCGGAGGCGGGGAAGCTCTGCTGCCAGATGCTGCCCGAGTCCTCCAGCAGCGCGGGCATAGCCTCCTCGGTGGAGGCGCTGTCCAGCTCCTCGTCCACCTCGTTGGTGACGGCCCAGGACACGGAGCTCACGATCACGTAGCCCGCGGCCGGGGACAGCAGGGCGCTGCAGCACAGCAGCCAGGAGAGGCGGGTACCGGGCCGCGCCGGCCGCCGGCCGCGGCGCACGGACATCTTGCAAGCGGCAAGCCCAGCCGCGGGGGCGGCCAGCAGCGCCAGCGCCGGGGAGCCCGGCAGCGCCCCGCTGCGGCGGAGGCGCGGAGCCCGAGACCCCTTCCCACCCCCGCAGGATTCCCGGGCGCAGTCCCCGGCGCGAGTCCCGGAAAATCACGGCAGCCGCGCGCCACGCTCGGAAGTCCAGGCTCGTAGAAGACCAGGTTCCGCGCACACGCCGCGCATCCTGTGGAGTCTTCCTCGCGCGCCAGGTTCCGGGATGGCTTCGTTTCCTGCAGGATGACACAGGTTGCGCAGCCAGAGGTTGGGCGTTCAAATCCCAGCTCAAAAGGCGCCTCCGCTCAACAGTTAACCTCTGTTAACTGTGGGACCTGCCAAGCCACTTAACCTCTCACGGCCCATTTCCTTCGTTAGCTGACAAAGATAATGTCTACCTTGTAAGGTGATGGATGGGACGATTAAACGATTAATATTTGAAGAGGCTTAGAACAGTGCGTGGCAGGGAGCAAACGCTATACAGTGTCGTCCCTTGGTATCCGAGGGGTATTGGTTCCAGGATCCCCGTGGATACCAAAATCCAGAGATGCTCAACTCCTTTATAAAAACTGGTGCAGCATTCGCATATAACCCATGCACATTCTCCTTTAATCTCTAAATTGCTTATACAATGCCTAATACAATGTAAATATTACATAAATTGTTTACTATATTGTTAGGGAATAGAACAAGGAAAAAAGCCTGCATATGTTCAGTACAGATGCAATTATCTTTTATCATTTTTTTTATTTTTCTGAGGAAGGGTCTTGCTCTGTCTACCCAGGCTGGAGTGCAGTGGCGCAGTCACAGCTCACTGCAGCCTCAACTTCCCAGGCTCAGGTGATCCTCCTGTCTCAGCCTCCAAAATTGCTGGATTACTTTTGGAGGTGTGAACGACTGCGTCCAGACTTTTTTTTTTCCTTCTTCTTCTTCTTCCAAAATTTTCAGTCTGTGGTTGGTTGGGAACCCATAGATATGAAGGGCTGACTGTATTTCGTTATCTAGACACAAGGTAGGGATTGTTATTACATCGTATTAGAGGAGAAAACTGAGTAAATGGTGGAGGTGAGATTAGCACCAATTCCTTCTGACGTCCATTCTTCTCTGCAAGGACAATGAGCTTCTTACACTTTGCTATGTCAGGAGGGCATCGCAGCCAGTACATCTAGTAGCAGAATCAAGTTATTTGCATTTAAGCTGAAACAATCTGGCCGAAGCCACGTGGACAAATACCACCTTGGCCATGCCCCTTGTTCTAGGTGACCAAAACTCTGGTCCAAGCCCTGGAAAGGAAAACTGTGGAGGAATATTGCAGGCTTTTGGCCGTTTTGTTACTCCTGCCTCCTCATGGGAGAAGTGACCCCTCTGATGGATAAGTTTCGAAAGGCAAGCTTAACATGATTTTCTCAGCTCCTGCAAGGCTGTTCTTTTCTGAATGGTCTGTTCACCCTTCTCTTCCGTCTTGCCTGAGCTGCCCTGTCCCTTCAGCAGGTGGGATGTCTCCCCACCCTGCCTGTGACTAAGGAAGTAGGTTCAGTTGTAGAATCTAAAAGGAATCCTATTTGGTCAAAATTTCCCATGGGCTTTACCTCCATTAAGGTTTTTGATTCTTGTTTTATTTTCCAAATTACCTCCACACTCAAAGGGGATTTAAGAGGGTGATCAATAATCACTCTTCAAACCTCATCACACAATTTGTGCCAGAACATAGTAAATGCTTCATCAATGACAGCCAGTGTTGCTTGTTTTGCCCGTTTACCCCTGAATATTTAACAGGCTCCTAAACTCAGATTTTGGAAGATAACTCTCCATGGATTTCCTGCTTTTCTGCAGAGTGCAAACTTGTTTTAATAACATTCATGATAAGTGCCCTATATGGATGTATCAGTTATCTTTTATACTGTATTTTTACTGTACCTTTTTATGCTTAGGTATTTGTAAATACAAAAACACTTATTATTGTGTTCTAATTTCCTACAGTATTCAGTACTGGAACATGCTGACCAATTTTGTAGCCTGGGGGCATTAGGCTATACCATCTAGGTTTGTGTAAGCACTCTGTATAATGCTTATGCAATGACAAAATCACCTAGTGACCAATTCTCAGAACATATCCTCACTGTTAAGTGACACATGACTATATTAGCTTCTTGATTTTTTCATAAATCGATATCTGTTCTAAAGAAATAAAGTTAGCATTTGGTTTTAGTCTTTGTTAGAGAATCTGGGATATGTGGATTTGTATTCGTATTCACATTCTACTTGTGTTTTGTTTCCACATTCTTTTGTTTTAACTTTTCCCTCTGAATAAAATAACAACACACAACCAAAAAAAAAAAAAAAAAAAAAACTTTGAAAAGCTAGAGATAGTGTCTTTCTGGAGAGATATAGGGATTTATTTTGCAGAGACATGCCAGGTAGTAAAGATATAGGTAGGAATACGTTTATATATATATATATATTGAAATATATATACTTGAAAATAAAACATTTTCAAAATGATTGTACCAATTTATACTGCCACTGTCAGAGTGTGAGAGTTACTTACTGTTACAGCTCTACATTCTCATCAACACAGATTTTTTGTTAAGTTTTTTTGGTCCATCCACAGCACTTCCCCCCACATCAAATCTGGTGGATGAGCAATGGTATCTCATTGTTATCTTAATTTGTGTTTACCTAATGACTAATATGGCCGATCATTTTACATATATTTGTTGCTCAGTTTGAAATCTTTTATAAAATGCCTGTTAATGTCTTTTGTCCATTTAAAAAAAGGTAAAAAAAAATGTAACATGAGATCTATCCTCTTAAGTGTTTAAGTGTACAGTACAGCATTGTTAACTATAAGAAAATTGCTCATAGCAAATCTCTAGAATTGTACCTTGCATAACTGAAACTCTTTATCCATTGAACAGCAACTCACATTTGCCCTCCCCCAGCCCCTGGCAGCCACCATTCTACTTTCTGTTTCTATGAGTTTGACTATTTAGATAACAACATACCACTCATATGTGGAATTAGATACTATTTGTCATTCTGTGAGTGGCTTACCTTATTTAGCATGATGTTCAAAATTCATCCATGTTGTAGCATATGACAGGAGGTTATTATTTTTAAAGGGTGAATAATATTCCATCGCATGTGTGAAAGGAAAATATCTTGTGCCATCAGAATCAAAATCTGAGACAGGTCTCAGTTAATATAGAAAGTTTATTTTGCCAAGGTTGAGGACGCTCCCATGACACAGCCTCAAGAAGTCCTGATGACATGTGCCCAATGTGGTTGGGGCACGTGGTTTTACACATTTTAGGGAGACATAGACATTAATCAATGTAAGTAAGAAGTACATTGGTTCGGTCTGGAAAGGCAGAACAACTTGAAGCAAAGGCAGAAAGACTTGAAGGAGGGAGGGGGCTTCCAGGTCACAGATAGGTGAGATACAAATAGTTGCATTCTTTTGAGTTTCTGATTAGCCTTCTGAGTCCACACATGTATATATCACATTTCCTTTTTTATTTTTTAATCAGGGTCTCACTCTCTTGCCCAGGCTGGAGTGCAGTGGCACCATCATGGCTCACTGCAGACTGGGTAGCCTGGGTTCAAGTGATCTTCCCTCCTCAGCCTCCTGAGTAGCTGGTACTAAAGGCAACCCACCATACCTGTTTTTTTTTTATTTTTTGTAGAGATGAGGTCTCACTATGTTGCCCAGGCTGATTTCAAACTCCTGAGCTCAAGCAATTCTCTGACTTCAGCCTCTCAAAGTGCTTGGATGACAGACATGAGTCACTGCATCGGGCCCACATTTTCTACTCATCGTTGATGGATGTTTAGGTTGTTTCTGCCTTATAATTATTGTGAATACTACTGCAATAAATGTTTGAGTGTAAATACCTCTTTGAGATCCTGTCTTGAATTATTTTGGGTAAATATCTATAAGTGCGATTGCTGAATCATAAGATAGTTCTACTTTTAATGAACCTCCGTACTGTTTCCCAAAACAGCTACCTCGTTTTATATTACCACCAGTGGTGCACAAGAGTTCTAATGTCTCCATCTTCTCACTAACACCTGTTGTTATGTTTATTCATTTATTTATATTATACTTTAAGTTCTGGGATACATGTGCAAAATGTACAGCTTTGTTACATAGGTATACACGTGCCATGTTGGTTTGCCACACCCATCAACCTGTCAGCTACATTTCTTCTAATCCCCCCCAACCCCCCAACAGGTCCCTGAGTATTATGTTCCCTTCCCTGTGTCCATGTGTTCTCATTGTTCAACTCCCATTTATGAGTGAGAACATGAGGTGTTTGGTTTTCTGTTCTTATGTTAGTTTGCTGAGAATGATGGTTTCTAGCTTCATCCATGTCCCTGCAAAGGACATGAACTCATTCTTTTTTACGGCTGTATAGTGTTCCATAGTGTATATGTGCCACATTTTCTTTATCCGGTCTATCATTGATGGGCATTTGGGTTGGTTCCAAGTCTTTGTTATTGTGAACAGTGCCACAGTAAACATACATGTGCATGTGTCTTTATATTAGAATGATTTATAATTCTTTGGGTATATACCCAGGAATGGGATTGCTGGGTCAAATGGTATTGCTGGTTCTAGATCCTTGAGGAATCACCACACTGTCTTCCACAATGGTTGAACTAATCTACACTCCCACCAACAGTGTAAAAGCATTTCTATTTCTCCACATCCTCTCCAGCATTTGTTGTTTCCTGACTTTTTAATGATCGCCATTCTAACTGGTGTGAGATGGTATCTCAATGTGGCTTTGATTTGCATTTCTCTAATGACCAGTAATGATGAGCTTTTTTGTTGTTGTTGTTCTTTTACTTTTTATTGCATTTTAGGTTTTGGGGTACATGATTCCACAGTTTTTTTCCAGTTCTGTGAAGAAAGTTTATGGTAGCTTGATAGGGATAGCACTGAATCTATAAATTGCTTTGGGCAGTATGGCCATTTTCATGATATTGATTCTTCCTATCCATGAGCATGAAATGTTTTTCTATTTGCTTGTGTCCTGTCATTTTCATGAGCAGTGGTTTGAAGTTCTCTTTGAAGAGTTCCTTCACATCCCTTATAAGTTGTATTCCCAGGTATTTTATTCTCTTTGTAGCAATTGTGAATGGGAGTTCACTCATGATTTGGCTCTGTCTGTTATTGGTATATAGGAATGCTTGTGATTTTTGGCACATTGATTTTGTATCCTGAGAGTTTGCTGAATTGCTTATCAGCTTAAGGAGATTTTGGGCTGAGATGATGGGATTTTCTAAATATACAATCATGTCATCTGCAAACAGACAATTTGACGTACTCTTTTCCTAAATGAATACCCTTTGTTTCTTTCTCTTGCCTGATTGCCCTGGCCAGAACTTCCAATACTACGTTAAATAGGAGTGGTAAGAGAGGGCAT